GCACATTACAGCGAGACGATATGAAAGCGGATGCGTAGCGATATTTTTTCGAAACGGCCGATAAGCAAGCGATATTAGTTGCGTTCCAGATGCTTCACGATTTGCAGGTTTTTACAGGAAGCCGTTCCAGGTGACCACCTTCCATAAGATTTATTAATGGAGAAGACAGCTGTTCCTGCAAAACGTTAGTGTGCACAGTTTTCATCGCTCCTACCAATTCCCATGTACTCAGCATGTCGATGACGCTTTTGTATCGCATCGCATACATCGTTTTATCGTGCCTAAAAGTTTTAATTTTTTTATTCTTACTCCATAAAAACAGATTTCTATATAATAAACCATTCCTGTACAAAGCACGCCGTTAAAAATTAAAAACTTAACAAAAAGGATAACGAGGTTAAATTGGGATTTAATGGTTTCTCACATCTTCAATGTTGTTAATCAATGCACGGTTGATCCTTGTCATATGTCGACCGCAGTCTAGGGCATAGAGACGCATATTTTAATCTTATATTTGTGGCTTATCATCCCTTGATGATAACACAACAAAAATTGGATAGCCAAACACTTAAGTTACTGCTTCAGGATCGCAAGGTATGGTAACTCCCTAGCGAAATGTTCGGAATAGTATCAGCATCTCTATCCTTTCTCCTCCGACTAAAGGGGCTCCTCATGGAAGGCTCTTTTTCAAAAAGGAAAAAAAAATCTTTGATTTCACCGACAAACTGCCTTCGTCCCACGAGTACGCTCAGGATCATGACAATATCAACAGAATACTCTTCTATCTTACCGCAGTATTATGTACTGATTTTTCCTGTCGCTGTCGTCAGAAGCCCTTCGGCCCACGAACGCGCTCAGGGCAACACAACCCTTAATAGATTTCTCCTTTTTCCTATCACAGGAATCTAATAGTTTAGTCTTTGTCCCTTTAAGTTGAAAAGGATAGAGGTGCCACTCGCCTTCTTTTTTTATAGCAGCCTCAAACTAATCGGAACGTAACCTGCTCTCTACTTTATTTAATAACAGATGGTTTCAAAACTTTCACAATTTGTATGGAAGTTCTAAAGGCTCGAAAGGTGAGCTGCTCACTCGTCAAATATACAGTATTTCTCGCTTATATGCCCTTCGCTTTTTGGCGACGATTTTACCCCTTATGAGATTTCCCCATATAAAAATGGTTCGATTTTCCCGCTTATATGATTCCCCGTTTAAGGGCACCAGAATTTAGATACAAAAGAGTAATTACATAATTAAATTTCCTCGGATATAAGCGCAGGGCGAAAATTTCAAAGCACCCAACTTTTTGACGCCGAAATTTTACAAGAAATATTGCATTCGTCTTCGGATGAATCCGAAGGTGAAGCCGAAGAAATAGTATCAGAAAGTTTGCCAACTACAAAGGAATAACTTCATGCAATTAACATTTTAAATAAAAGCTTTGAAACAAAAAATAACTTGATGCTATGGAATTGCTAATTTATAAAGAAAAAAATTCAGTAAAAATTAACGGATTTCTTTAGGATAGGTATTTAACAATGACATTTAATGTAGTGCTTTGTTTTGCGATTTGGCTGGGATAGCTATTTTTTATTATTAATTCTAGACTTTTTTGTTTCATAACAGCCGAATGAATTTAATTTTTGTTTTAAGTATACATGAATGTACTTTATCACCGAAATAACTATACATAATTATATCGTTACTTTAATATAGAAAGGCCCTATCTCACGTAGCCGCTGAAATACAAAAGCCGTTACTACAACCTCACATACGCGGTTTTGGATTTTATTGATACGCGTTTTTGTACTTTGAACGATGATATGCATTAAAAAAAATCTGTTTTAATAATGTATAAAATGTATATCACTGTCAGCCGCTGTGGTGTAGTGGTAAGCAGTGCGCGCTTCCATTCTGCTGCGCCTGGGTTCAAGCCCTGGTAAAAGCAACATCGAAAAAAAATAGAAAAAAGGTTTTTTCTCAACAGCGGTCGTCCCTCGGCAGGCAATGGCAAACCTCCGAGTGTATTTCTACCATGGAAAACAGCCTCTCATAAAAATACAATCGCCGTTCGGAGTTGGCGTAAAACTGTAGGTCCCTCCGCTTTGTGTGACAACATCAAGGCGCACGCCACAAATCGGAGGAGAAGCTCGGCCAAACACTAACATATGTGTAAGCGCCAATCTATTATTATTATATCATTGTATTGTTTGAATTCTCATTTCCACGTGCGTGTTTGGCCCCAAAGCGCAAATTTTTTTATAAGCGTCGAGGATACTTATAAGCTATTTTTAGGATATAAGGTTTCTACGGTTATTAGCGTCGAAAGTTTTGCATTTTTGACGACGCTTATAAGCGGTAAGAACTGTAAAACATATCGCACACGATCTACAAAAGTGACACAATTAAAAATTTGGAAGTTTTGAAATTATGCGCTAGAAATGTACACAGAGCTTTAATTTACCTTTAAGCGAGCGCTGGAGCAAATTTTTGCTATAATTTGTTGATTAGCATTTGCTAAGAAGGAGTTTTTCCGATTTTCTGACTACCGTGTAATATGTATGTACATATCGCGCCCTAACCGCCAAAAAGCGGTAAGCGAAAATTTTTTCAAATTTCCTTTTTGATGCAAAAATGCATCTGAAGGTCTAGGAGAGGAGTATTGCTGCATCAAAAATAAAATTTCGAACAAATTACGCTTACATATTTTCGGCGGTTAAGAGTCGATATGATTTAATTCTATTCTACGCTGGGTTCGGCAAAATTAGTTGTTAGTTTTTAATAAACAACTATGAATATCAACATACCAATTTGGGTATTAAAGTTTCCTTTGCGGTGGTGGACTCGGTAACGAATTTTTGTTATTTATCATCTAAAAAAATTTTATTTTCTATCTACATAGTTTATTGTTTGTTAGATAAATAAAATAATTGAAAAATAAGTACATACTTGTGTGTGTTTATTCTTGAGCATTAATTCCATTTATTTATGTGCAATACATTTGCTTCCGTCATTGGTATGCACATACATGCATACATATATAGTGTACAAACTAAAAATGAACCGGAAACAAATTCAAGGAAGTGTTGCCACAGCAAACATTTTCAATACATGTTTGTAACCAATTTATATTTTGTATGTACATAAATATTTAAATATAAAGTTAATCGTGCGACATAAAATGTCGATACAAATGCATAAGCGGTTAAAGACGCCTTAAATATATGTACCTACTCACATAGTACAGCTGCGGTCAAATTAATAGCATCAAAGTAATATTGTTTGCAAGTCATGTTTAAATATTTATTTATTTTTTTTATTATTAGTAATATTAGCCATAATTTTATATATTTTGTGGGGCAACCGTAGATCAATATGAATCAATTTAGGAGAAATTGAATACCGATTCTCAAATTTTTTCAATCGATTCACGGATCGAATCGGAACTAAAAGATCGACAAAAAATCTAATCGTCAGGGCTCGATTAACCAATCTTTATTTAATGGATTTACAAAGGGCATCTCTAATTCGTACTCGAAGATTTTCAACGATGAATGTAAAATGCTGATTGTGGAGTAGTCTCATACTACTTCATAAAGATAAATTTTGTATAATAGAAATGTGTTTTTTTTTTTATTACTCGGGTTGATTCTTATGGGAGAGCTACCTTATATATGTATTACTGTGTTTAAAATTAATTACTTACCCTCCAAGGACATCTCATGTTAATGCATGGGATGCTACCGATTTCTAATGGATCTGTTCATTTAAGTTTTAAGGTTTTGTTTTTCTAAAACATTTTAGCAGTTGTTTTTAACTAGCTTTAATAAAAGGAGGAGTTTATCAATTAATCGAAGTATATTTTTTTATGTCATACCCGTGCCACAATCAGTTCGTATGCCTCAACACTTAATATTTGCCTTTGAAACTTATAAAAATGTATTTATATTTATATTATATTTATTTATATATATTAATAAATCAAAAGCTTTGATACAAAGTTTGTTAATTTCCCATAGCTTGAAGTGAGGTTTCTTAGAATCGATGGATCTTAAAGAAAATCGTTCATCCTTTTCACTAATTTTAATGGGAAAGTAGTGAAAAAGGATGAAAGATGTTATTAAGGCAAAAGGCGACATGACAAAGTGTTAAACAATATGTACATTTTTCAAGGTGCTATGTATTGAATTGGAAATGCATTTTATAAGAGTGTGGTAAGATCTTGCTATTTACGTTGTGGTTTTTGTAATTTCTTTTCTTTTGCTCTTGATTTTAAGAAATCATATTTCATCACCAAACTTTGCATCGAAAACTTTGATTTATTAATATATGTATATATGTGTGTATGTAAAAGTTTCAAGTAAAAATATTAAAAAGTGTTCTTGGCATACGAACCGATTGTGGGCTGGGTAGTATATTACCGTATAGCTTAGGACCTCGTGAACGTTTTTCATAGTTATTTATCGGAAAGCATATACTTCAAGGGTGGTCCTCTACTATGTATATTGGTTTAGTTTCGGTCATTGGATAATGACGAAATCACGGTACTCCTGAATTTGTTCATGAGCATTGATGTGAGTTGGATTTTTTGCTCAAAAATTACTTATTAATTGTATATTCTGTATTGTTATCATTTCGTTCGTGTTGTTTTCGTGTCGCCCAACACTTTCTTATACATTTCATAGCTAAATGTAGACGCAACATAAACATACATAGCCACACTGCTGGCAATATTCTCTTGCCTTCGAACAAAACAGACCGCACTTCGCTCCACCTGCCCACATGTGTCACTTACATACATACCTATGTATTTTTACTATGTACTCGCACACCATTGTCATGACGAACAACCAACGACTACCTACACATGTATGTACATACATACATACATAATATGTACCTGTCCATATATTTGCTTTAACTCACACTCGTATAGAGAAATCCATGAACTCGTCTCTTGAACTAACTTGATTACTTGTGTAGCTATGTCAATCTGAGTCATCTTCGGCGGTATCAGTCAGTCGAACGCCTTCATTAACACACAACGCAGTGAAAAGGCTTTAATATATAAAAAATATTTATAATTCAATTCTTCTGTTTGCCTTTTGGTTTGTTTGTTTTACACAGCTGTTTTAATTGTTTCTTTTTAAGAACGAATTTAATTCGTCGTATTTTAATAAATTAATTGAATTAATAACGCTACAAGTCAGGGGCCGATAAGAAGACGCAAGTAACCAGTCCTCCAGCAGCGCATTGATCTCATTAGTGAGTGAGTCCACAACGGAGTTCTTGAAAAATTTTTAATTTTAATTTTGTTTGTATTAATTTTAAGCTATGTACGTGCTGAGGCATATGTATTTTCATACATACATATGTGCACGTGAACATATGTGGTGCATATATTTGAATAGTATAATACTCACACAAACGCCTGGTAAACAAACATTTTGGCTTCCCTCAGCTTTTCAGTTGAACTACAGATATGTACTTGTAAACACTCACAAAAAAGTTCTTTGGCCATTTACCAAATGCGAAAAAACTCGTAAATAAATAAAAAAAACCCGATTAGTAAAGATTATAAAAAAAATTTAAGTATAAAAAGGAGCAACCACAAAAAATTACTTGTATTGATAATTTGAGTGAATTTTTACTGAAATCAGCAATTTTTGCTTTAATTAAACGCGTACGTGTGGTGAAAGGTGCATTAAGCGAAAACAAGATTTTATTTACTCAATTAAATGTTTTGCGTCGTAATTTTGTGCTAATATGCTTGCTATTCACAGAAGTATTTTGGTTTGATTATTTTATAAAACTGTATCCAATTCTACAACAGAAACCATGAAAACCAAAATTTCCCTGCTGAAGTCTAGAAAAAAGAAGTCTGATGAAGAGATGTGGTGATCTCCGAAAAAGCTGCTATAACTTCTACCGCTTAGACTTTGTTGCTTTTTCAATTTTTCCTAATAAAACAGTCGTGGTACAAAGCTCAATAAAAATATTAAAAACAAAATTTCAAACTTTGTGGAAAAGTAAGGTATATTCTGCAAACTTTCAAACTTTTCTAAACAGATTTTTTAACAAAAAATTTGGGTATGCAGTTTTAAAGCACATTAAATTTGAATACAATAAAGTGCAAATTTGAAGGTGCTGAAACATCGTGTCGATTTTTGATAATTTTTTTTACTGAAGAGTTCTTTAATATAAAGATTTTTAATTGAATGGGCTATACAATTGCATGCACCAATTTTTCCTAAAAGAAACTATTAAGAAGGCTTTAAATTTTGTTAAAAATATTTTTGTTGTATATGAATTATATTTTTATTAAAAGAATTTATTTAAAAAAAATGAGAAATATATACGATAATCAATGCAAAATACGTACTTCTGTGAGTGACTATCTGTGGTGTAATTTCTTTATAATAATGACAACTCTATTTTTGGTTTTTTCTGATTTGATGACTTAATCAAATTGTTAAAATCAAAATGTATTTAACTTAATGTGATTGACTTTAGCGTTTCTCTAATAAAGCCATCCCATAATGTCCAATTGATGGAAAATTGTATAAATTTAGCATCGTCTCGTATTTTTTGACTTTATAGTACCTTAACAGAGAGCCGCACTCAGTTGTTAATCATAGTTTGTACCTGATAACACAGAACTGCATTACAAACATTTGAATTATTTTAATTTTATATTCTTAGCAGAAATACATACATATTGGGCCTTATAAATAAAAACTATGCAATTGCTTTTTCTTGAAATTTCAAACCTTTTACTCGATATATTAAAATAAAATTAATTAAAACGTTAAAAATTTTATGAAAAGGCAATTGCTTAGTTTTTATTCATAGGTCCCATTGAAACTAGAATTATTAAAAATGAAATATTTTTTTTTATTATAAACACTTTTTATTTAATTTTTTTATTCGATTATTTTTACAGTTGTAAAAGCTTCAAACAAAAACTGACAAACAAAATGATTGTGAAAGTTCCTTCAAATGATTGGTCTGACCAATTTGAATATGTAGTGGAGGAGGATGATTCCCTATCAGATTTGGAAGATGAACAGGATTTCTCCGAGTACTTGTGGATGGAGAATGAAGAAGAGTTCGATAAGAATGTAAGTAAAAAAATAAATAAAAAATATTTTTCAAAAATGTATGTATGTGTTGCTAGCCTATAGTTCTTATAATCCTACCTCAAAGGATAAGGAAGTAACTTTAAATTTCCATGTGAATTTCAACCCCTGCGAATTTGAATTCAAAGCGAATTTGCCTGCCTGAATATGAAGATATTAAACTGCTGCACAAGTGCACTTGGTTTCATGTAAAAAATAAGCCGTCTCTTACAACAGTATATATTTAGTATTTGCTGACGTTTGGCTTTTTTCTCTTCGTTCCATCTATGTGCTCTTCAATTGAATTGTTTGTTAAACAAGTAATTTTTACCAAAAAAAAAAACCGACGGTTGACGTGGTGCAAAATTATGCGGTAACATACATAAAAAAAAAAAAACCTCCTCCTTTTTTGGAAGTCGATTAAAAAGAAAAAGATTGCAGCACTGTTTAAGTATACTTGTGCAGCTGTTTAGTGCATATGTACATATGTATGCTCATATTTATGTACATATGTAAATTTATACTTATACACTTCCTGATTAGCATTTAAGCAAGTGATTTTTTATACAGAAATTCCCAGTATTTTATATTTATGCATTTTTCTTCTAACGCAGGAATTGAAACGTCTCGAAGAAGAGGACATTATGAAAGAGTGCATTGAGGCAATGCTTGAGGACGAGCTCGAAGCTGAATTGGCTGAGTGGCAGAAAGCAAAGTATGAAATTCAATCAAATTTAGAGCATGTGAAAAGTGAAATATCTTTAATTTTAATAATTTATGTGATATACATATGTACATATATTTGTATCTTTAATTTTCCATCATAATTATATTTAATTATTTAAGGACGGAAGAATTAAATGCAGCACTATCCTCGCTCGCTGTGAGCGAATGCAATGTAGAGCATTCCATTCTAAATCCTCTGGCCGCTGAATTCGTTCCGCAAAAGCATATAATTGATCTGGGTACTTCGTAAGCCTAACATTATTTATTTCACACACCACAAACTGGAATCTAATGCAACATACGACGTTTAAATAAAATCATCAAAACGCAACGCATCAACAATACTATCGGAAATTGTAGGTAATGGCCCTAAACAAAAAAAAAATCTAACCAACACAAAAACAAACAAACAAAAATAAACAGAAAATTTAATATTCTTATTAAAGTATATTTAAAGAAAACCAAACAAAAAATCACCAACCCATCAGCGTACATGTGCAACGCGAGTAATATTTACTCGCTTTTATTTTGTTTCAGTTGGCCATTAACACCAAGAGGCGCATAAAATTCAAGGAAAAGGAATCACAAATAAGCATACAAAAAACTAAAAGCCAAACAAAAAGCAAAAAAATAATTTTAAATTACAATAATTTACTCAAGCTGACTTTTTGTTGCCATGCGCTATTTCTAAAAAATTTTACAGCTAATATTTTAGCAAGTTGTTTGTTGCAAGTCCAACGTACAAATCGCTTTTAATTTATTGTGGGTATTTATACACATTTATATTCATATATTTTTCATAATTACCTCAACCCACGCATAACTTTCGAATCGTCCTATGTTATTATCGAGACGATCTACATGATTCAGGAAGACTCTTGCCTCAGACTGCAACAGCAGTGCAAACGAGAATGAGAGCATTTCGGCCATTTTTTGTTTGTTGTAAAAACATTTATCTAGTTTTAAATAAGTGATAAAATGATAAATTGTTAGTCCAGAGTTGATATTAGGAAGATTTGAAAAATTACAAAATGTGATTATTCACTACTGTAGCTTTCCGTAATAGCTGTCATGTATGGTATGTTTTTTTTTTCATTTTTATTTTTAATTCACATTCGTTGCAAATTCAATTCACACTAAATTTATATGTATTGCGATCTGCAGATAAATCACTATGTGCATCTAAAAAAATATTTAACATTGTCCTGTCTATATTAATATGCTTGAACGCTCCAAATTCCATGTAAAGTACACAGACATACCCCATTACAACCTTGTTTAGCTTTAATGGAAAATTGTAAAGTTATTTGTAATTTAAAATTTAACAAAAAAATTAATAAAGTCAAATGTAATGTAATAGGCGTCTTAATATGATTATCTAAAGGAGTAAATATTAACGAATGCAATAAACTAATTCCATAAATATCTGTATAAATTTTCACACATACATTACATACGTAAAAATAAAATACCGAATTACAATAGCATAGAGTGCAACCATCTTATTTACTAAATGTAATACCTAAATAAAGAATCATAAGGAAGAAACCAATAAATAAAATGGTGTACACTCGATTTAATGATATTTAACTTTGCCAACTCTTTATATTTAAACATATAAGACGCTCCAACTCTATATACATATGTATGTATTTATACATCAGCCTCGTAATATTGAACTGCTTCGAGCAAAATTATCTTAAAGACTAATGCTATTTATAGTGTTATAGTAGTTTATGAAAAAAACCCTAAAATATAAAAAAATAAATAAAATAAATAAAAACGTTTGTTATTAGCAAAGTGTTTCATAAGTATGCACGTATCTATACATATGTATATATGCATGTGCATATTATATAATGTAACACGTTAAGAATGCAAGACATGAACAAAAAAATATACTATTACTTAACTTTATGTGTGATATAAAAATACAAAAACTTAAAAAAAGTAACATTCTAAGAATAAAGCCAAGCAAAAAAAACTAAAAAAAAAACAAAACAAAACATAATCTCAATAAAAAGTATTATAGCAGTTAAATGGATGATTTTATTTCACAATCGAATTTTAATGGGTGATTTTATTACACAATCGGATTTTAATGGTCATGATTAGCTATACGGTGCTATATGCAGAATTCTCTACGAAATCCTGCTGTGAATGAGCGTGATAAAGTTGTAGCGACGGCGAGGTACCAAAAACAAAGAACTTGCTAAACTTCCTAGATCGTCTACATTCACCATTCCAAATTAGATAATAATCCAATTGAAATGATTAACTTAATTGCTATACAGTATGGTGAATACGTTACACTTCCGAGGTAGATGAGAAGGATACGTTTTGCATCTTCTTTGTATCATGTATTTTTTCTTTGGTTAGGTTTCGTTTAAGTATACAAAATCCTATTGGAATATTTTAGATTTTGATTTACGCTGACGACACACAATCAGTTTTGCCTTTCAATTTCCTCACATACATTGCTTGTCAAAAATCATCAAAATTGAAAGGCATAACGTAGATTGCATTCAATTTGAGAAGCAATTTCATTATCAACATGTCGCTTTTAAGAAAACAATCAGACCGATTCTGAACAGAAAGTCCCTGGGAGTTTTCTCTCTTTTCCCTTTCCTCGTATCATGAATAAAAATTCCCTGACGATTTTGAGCTGTCAAAAAAGTGTCGAAACAGCTTTTTTGAAATTAAAACTTCCTCCCAAATTTTTGGGAAAATGCTACTGGCAGTTAATTATTGGAGGATTTCTTTCTCGGGACAAACAAGTTCCCGGAGAACAAACTCCCCGGGAGTATTAAGACTTGGGCTGAATGTAACTAACTAGCTTCTGAAAAACATTTTCCATTTTCCACCACAAGCTTAGTATTTTTTATTGTCACAAAATTCGCATGCCGATGCTGAAAAGCTGACCAAAATTGAAAGCAAAATTGAAAGTGTGAAAGTATTGACAATTGAAAGGGGAAAATTGAATGTGTAACGGCCCGGTTAGTGAAAAAGGTAACCGGAACATTACAAGTTCAAGAATTTAGCTGATTCAGATTGCATTAAAATTTGCTTTCTGCGTTTCGTAAAAGAAGTCACAATCAAAGAAAAGAGAATACAAAATAAGTTAAAATCCAACACCAAAATCCAATAAGTTCCATTTGATTTCGAATATATTCGTTGTTTTTGTTGTTTTGTACTGATTGTCGCCGTGCGTATAATTTGTTATTATAATTTTTTTGTTTGTTCTTCGCCTTTTTTTTGTTCACCTTGTATGGGTCGTTCCGTTAACGTAAACCCGACTGTCGTGGGAACGGATATATTCGTATACGAATTTGTATGGTGAAATTAGCTACCCTCCCCAAGGTAGAAGTTCTATACAAGAGGTGAGCTTTTTTTTTTTTACTTACAAATCAAAGAACCCACCAAGAATTGGGAGTTCTATCCCAATTATTTAAATATCCAGATAGTATCTATGGATATTGGAATATGTTTAACGAAATGAATATCCGTATAGCAAAATTAACGTATATATACAGGATATTCGGATAACAAAACAGAACGGACATTAACCGGATATCCGGATTTTACCCATATACGCAAATATCAGAACGGATATCCGAATACAATCCAGAGCATAGTCTACATATATAAACAGGCGGACGTAAATTTATATCTGGCAAAGGACTTTTACCTCAGCGGCATTCTCCAAACCCTTTGAACTTTTATACTAATTCTCATTTGAATTTACGTCATAAGTGCACTAACATTTTTGTTTCCTACTGTTGTGGCAGGGGTGGATCCAGCGGGGGATTTTGGGGGTTAAACTACGTGCCAGTCAGTGGCGGACCCACGGGGGTATTTTAATACATAGACGCCATATTATACATACATATGCGCCATATTAAAACACACCCCGTGCGTCGGCCACTGACTGACACGTAGTTTGACACCCAAAAGCCCCCCGCTTACGACACCGTTGTGAATCCCCCATGTGTTAACTGCAGTTTCATAATTTTCTATGTTGTCAGCATTTTCTATGTTCTTTAGTGGGAGCCCCTACGACTCCATTTGTTCCTACTTTCTTACACAAAAACTTTCGATCTGGCACCTATATATAAGCTTTCAGCCGGCAACGCTAGAAACTGACGTTTAGCAATGCAAACATGGCGTCGTAAAATTGGTGAAGTAGCGGTAATTTTAGTAAGTTTTTCGTGTTTTTGGATGTTTCAAAATTGTTCTATGTGTGATCTAAATGTTTCTAATCATACATGAATCAATGTATAGCAAAGATATGTCAAAAATTTGATTAGATTGGTTATGAAAATCTATTATATTTATTTGCAAATCAGGGAAGTCTAGTTTCGACAAGACGAAAAAGAAGAAAGCGAAAATTGGTATAAAATAAAGAGCACAAGAATAGTGTTTGACAGACAAAGCGACAACAAAAAAACAAAGACGACGGTATCGACGTCAACGTCGGCAGAATGAGCAGGTGTCGCTGGCAGTAACTGAGGACGTGGGCTACTGAAGAACTACTAAACTTTTCTCATTGTAAACAAAAGCAGGAATGAGCATTTCATGGTTTTTCGTAACAATTGCGTAAATTATTTGCTGCATATTTTGCATACCTCACGAGCTCAGATAAAGCTTTCAAGCGCATAGAAATAGGAACAGACATTTTAATTAAAAGCTACGTACATATTTAAATAACTATTTGCGAGGCGAAACATTTAACGCTAAGAAGACCTCAATTCGCATGAGTTTTTAGTAATTAAAACACATGCCCATGGCAACGAGTTCATCTGCGGCAGCTGCATCGGCGACAGCTGTCACTGCTCCATCGTCGTCCATTAGTACACTTAGCGGTAGCAGTAGTAGTGGAGGTAGTGGTGCACCATTAATTAATGCAAATGCAGCGCAATTTCGAGAAATACACAAGAACACTTGGCTTAAAAGACTGACTGCTGAAGGCAAAAAAATCACAGTGGGCCCTAAGGTGAGTAATTATACTCATGATATGTTAATTTAAATAATTACTACATACTTAGTTCTATTAAAACATTGCATAGAAAGTTTTTCACTGTTATATGAAAATCGCATAGATTTAATAGTACTTTTTTTACAGAAATCTGATCGCAGTTGGGTTGTTTTCTGTGTACACGATGATACCGACGCGCTTTTGGAGGGATACGCAGAGCCTCGCCAAGCTGCTTCCCATAATCCCGAATGGATTGTTTCGATGCAGGACACATTGCACATCTCACATGCGCTCATTCCCAATTCGCACGAATTCGAATTTGTCGTCACGCTTGCTAATGAAGTGATACGCTTCCATGCAATGTCATGGTATGATGCACATCTATTACTCAACTTGCGCGCATAATGTAACGCATTACGTTTTATTTACAACTCACTGCACATTATATTACGCATTGTCTGGGACAATAGATTTACTTAGTATAGGAAACTTGTTTATAACTCAATGAAATTTATGTTTTCTTTTTACAGGGAAATTATGCAAGAATGGGTAGATACGCTGCGTTCCAAATTAAGAGAGATGAAAATTCTGTCGCCACGTGAGAATCTCTATACAAAGCTACCTGAAATACGTGCGCCACTCTTACCAACTCGTGATCCAACATCACCATTGCCAGCACCCCCACCGGTGCCAGCTGCCATTGTGCCAGGAGTGGAACGCGTTGTGCCGCCAAGTTTGGCGCAAGATAATTCTACTAGCGAAAGACGAAATTCAAATACTTCAGCCACAACTTCAACAATAACACCATCAGTGACTACATCAGCAACATCCTCCCTAAGCAGTGATGTAAATAGAGTAAATGCCCCAAGCAATGCTGGGACGACTGTTGCAAATACAAGCACTGGCAGCAGCACCTCTACGACTAATGCGTCAGCAATTTCAACTCAAACGACAGTATTACCAGCACTAACTTCTATGTCGAACACACTTACACAAAATCTGCTAAACATGCTCTCAGATCCTATAAGCGCCTATAGTGAGCAACTAAATGAAGTTTTACACATGGATGATTCGAGCTCTGTTGGTGATCCACATGACTTGCATTACGACGACGAGTTTCAATCACTCATCTTGAGAAAACAACTGCAACAATATGATCCTGTAGGGCCAACAACAAGTACGGACAACAGTATTCGTGTGGATATTGGACAGCGTACTTCAGCTGGTATGCTTATTTTCATTATACTTTCAATATTACAAGAATAGTAAATACATTTATTTTTCTAGAACCAATTAAGAACTGGGAATGTTTGATGCAGCCCGATTGTTCCTTGTCTACAAGGTAATGTACAAATAAACATAAATGAATAGAATTATGTA